AAATCATTGGGGTGTGCTCTTGAAGGGGATATTGGGATCCTGGAACTTTCCTCTCTCTCTCTCTCTCTCTCTCTCTCTCTCTCTCTCTCTCTCTCTCTCTCTCTCTTTGCTTTCTGGCTTCCATGAGAACAATTTTGCTCCACTTTGCATTCCCTGCCTTCATGTTCTGCCTTGCCACAGCTGAAAACAACAGTAACAAGTAACTGAGGACCAAAACTTCTGCAACTGTGATCAAAGATAAACCTTCCTTTCTTTTAGGTTGATTATCTCAGGTATTTGGTTACCACTGATTTGAAAGCTGATTAACACATAAAAATGGTACTGAGTGCGGAACTACTGTTTTGACTGTACTTGACAATGTGGTTCAGGCTTCAGAATTGGTTTGTGGGAAGAGTTTGAAAAAGTTTGAAGATGCAGGCCAGAGGCGCCCTAAATTTTATAAGCAGAACTTAATGGGTAATTCTGGTAAGGAATTAGAAGAGAAGAATGCTGATGGAAATGTGCTGATTATATTTCAGGTGAGAATGAGAACTCCATTTGGGAATTGGATTAGAGGCCATTCATATTACATTCTAGCAAACGGTCTATGCCAGTATCATGTCTCTCTTTTGAGGATTTGTAAAAGGCTGATTTTAAAGGTCATGGACTGGTTTATCTGGCAGAAGAAATTTCAAGGGAGCACAGCAATCATGGGTGATATGGGTATTGCTGACTGCTTTGAGCTAAATTTTACAGTGAGAATCAGGAACAAAGAGTACAGTAGAAAGATTTGAAAAACTTGCAGCTTACCCAGAAAAGAATGTATGTAAAGTTGGGGCTAAGGAGGGTGCAGCTACTAAATGTATTAGCATTATTAAAAAGAAGCCAACTACAGCAAAACTTTGGATTGCAAGTAACTTGTTCTTCAAGTGTCCCAAATATTTCTAATGAATTTTAACTTGAGGAATGAACAAAGACTTCTAATAAATTTTAACTGATACATGAGTGATGTTTTGCAACATGAGTAGTATGTAATGTCAAAAGTCACATGATCACAAGTTAACCAGGGTTCTGTGATTTTCTCTCTGTCTCTCTGTCTCTATCTCTGTCTCTCTGTCTGTCTGTCTGTCTGTCTCTCTGTCTTGCTCTTGCTTTGGGATTGCAGGTGATCATCTCCCAATAGCAAGAGGTTATGAAGAAAATCTTGTCTGCAAAAGAGGAGAAAAAGGCAGAGGAACCCCTCACTTTACATGAAACTAGAGAGATGTGTAAAATGTCGGGGACAGTGCAAAATTTTGTAGAAAATTTTGTAGAAAAACACCACCCAAATAAGATTGTAGTAGTGTGGGCGGTGAATTTCTTCAACAACAATGAGATGTCTTATTTCTGCAAAATCTTCAAAAGGAGGCAAAAGCAAGTGTCATTGGGTAGGTTCCTTATTAAAGCTGCACAAATGGCAGGGGATTTAGCTCAGTGGCATAAGTGACTGCCTGTCAAGTGTGAGGTTGTGAGTTTGATCCCTGGTACCAAAAAGTATAGGTTAATTTATTTTTCTTTATTACTTTGTATTCCATTACGATATTATAATCATTTTATGTGAATATTTTTAGATTGTGAAACAAATCATCTGAGTTTCCATTATTTTTTTATGAGGAAGTTTGCTTTGATACACAAGTGCTTTGGATTACAAGTAGCATCTGAAGTAGAAGAGAAGGAATCTTGCAAGAATGAGCCTGTCATCTGTGGAGAATGTTCTGACTCTATATGTTGTTAAAAACATAAAGTAAAAACAAATTTAGTACCATTCATTTGTACATTAAATGGAGTTGAGAGGTCACTGTTAATCAGCTCTCAATCACATCTAAAGCTGAATCTTTGAAGTGGATAACGGACAGGGTTCCAAGGTGAGTTGGTCTTTGAACCATAGCTAACACCTACTGACATTTTGTACAATGAACCCTTCCCTCCAAAATACCTAGAGACTGAAAGTGCTCCCAATCTCTTCCATTAGAAAGTTTAACTTTTGCTACTACCAATTAATTCCTGATTAACCAGTGATGTAATTGCTAACTTCTCTTATGGTTTAAAAGCTATAAACACAGGCACCATTTCATTATTGAGAGCCCTTCCCAATCCTTGCTGTGGTGCAGGAAGTATATATTTGTAATCCCATGGAAAGGTTATTGAAATCCTAGCGAGTTAATTCCAATCAATCACTACCAGTGTGATGAATGGCAAGAATAAAGACACTGAGGCATATTTATAGTTGTGGGGAGCCAAGGGGGTCCTAAGTCTAGCTAGGGTGATGATTAATCAGACCAAAGGCCATGTCTCAGGTCTGAACTCAGGTTTTATTCATTCATCAAGAGGGGAGTAGTTCGGGGATGAGTGACTATAATTGTGATGGGAAGAACATGAGTACTAGGTAAGAGGCCAATATGCTCAATATGCTCTACAATATGCAGAGAGAGATATGCAGAAAGAATAATTTGCATAACACAATTCGAGAAAGTGTGTAATATTTTGGGGTCAGTGCTTCAACTCTGATGTGTAATTTTTTATGCCCTGAGAAGTTGTGGCCTCTTTCTCAAGGCTCAGTCCCAGTGGACAGCATTGAGCATGGCTCTCCTTCCTGCCTGGTTCACACATGCTTTTTGGGTACTGTGGGATGGGGTAACACTGACTTGGTCACTTTGCTTCAAAGATTACACATCAGCATCTAGGCTAGACCAATTTGCATTGCTTAAAGCCAGTTGAGGGAATAAGGAAAAGTCCTAACCTGCGTACATATCAATACATGGAAATAGGACCAGATTTAGCTAAAATGAAGATAATTGCTCTTCTTTCAAGGAGAGTCACCCAGCAAGTCCTCCATACTTCATAAATTCTCAGAGCATATTTTCAAGACCATTGTTGTATACTGCAATCCTAACTAGCCTAATTAAACGTAATTGTCTTTGTTCTTGACTAGGTTGATGTTATTCTCATTCAACTGTTAAATGAAATTGCTAGACATCTATTTGGTGTCATCAAAGAAATGGGAAATCGCTTGGTGTAGAAAATACATTTATTATCAGAATACAGATCATAGTAGTGGTGAATCTTTTTCTACCCAGTTAATATGCTGTTTATCATGGATGCTGTGCTACTCTGGTACTTTTAGGACCAAAGGGCTTAATTTCCACGTGTTGAGATGGTTGTGGGCTCACAGTTCTATTATGTCAAATTCTGTTTAGGGGTTGTTGTGTTGAAGAAAGCAGTCTACCCCAAGATCACACATCTCTTCTAGGGACAGTGGAAGAGTACAGGCCTGGCTCCTTCCCTTCAACTTGGAAGAACTCTGAAAGGGCTATGCTAAATTCATAGCTTCTTATGGGGGCCAGCTAGTATGACATTGAACTTGCCAGAGAGAGTGCGGGTTTGTCTTTCTGAGCTTATAGTATTCAACTTAACTTTTTAAAAAATGAGGTGATATGGTATATCATACTTCCTAAAGGCACAGGGGGATAAATCTTTATTGCAACTGTACCATAATCCCACCTTCTTTATGTTGCCCATGGATGTGGATACCAAGGACAAATAATATCCTGCACACTTTTTCCCATCTCAGATTTTTGAATTGAACAGTTGAACTCAGGGCCTTAGTACTGCACTACATCCCCAGATCTTTTGACCACCCCCCCCCTTTTTTTTGAGATAGGATCTTGCTAAGTTACTCAGCTGAGCATATTGGACTCTGCCTTGAGATCCTCCTGCCTGAGCTTCCCAGAGTGTTGAAATTATAGGCATGTACCACCACACACACCTTCCATCTCAGAATTTGTACCAAAAGGAATTCAACCTATTTTCTTTTCTTTTTTTCCTCATTCCATTAAAATCTTTCAATGTTATGAACTAAAGTGCTTCAGTGTTTTCTTTCCCATGTTTCTTTTCATTGATAAGGGTCAATCCAGTGCTGGGCCATCAAGACATTTCAACCTCTCTCCATTGCCTCAGTGAACATGAGTCAACCAAGTGCAAAATATATTTCTGGTTATGGATATCAGTGACCCTGCTGATTCAAGTAACAGCTCAACTTTTATCTTGTGACCCTTCTGAGAACCAAACATCTCATAATTACAACGGAATGAGGTGTTGCTACTTTCTTCTCATGGATCTGAAGTCAGGCCAGTATCACCTAGGGTTGACTCAGCACCAGGAAGATGTACATGTTAAAAGAAAAGGCAAATGTGTCTTGTCATCCTTGGTACATAAGAATAGAATTGCCTAGAATGGTGGCTGTGATGCCTTCAGAGGCACCCAAAGCCATATGTGCTAAGACCTAAAAATTAAGGTGATTCTGCCATACTATATTTACTGACGCGTGGGGACTTATAAGGCCCCATTTTGACAATAGGAACACATAACACAGTGCCTACAAATAAAATGCTCAGTGCTTGTCTGCTGAGTACATAGTAGCTACTAAATGTTGGCAATAAAACCATCAAGATAGGCTCAACCTTTTATGTCCTTAGAGAAACTGAGTCTGGGGCAGGAAGAAGACACAGCAACAAGAGCATGAGAATTTCCACACTCTAGGCTCAGGAACGTGATACAGGACAATTCAGGAGTGTGGGTATTCTTATGAGGAATTGGTGATGCTATTGTTATTGTTGTGTCTCATACATCTTAATTGTTTTTCTTATTTTTTTTCTGCACTTGGGATTGAATCTGAGGTCTTCATAGTAAGCTACATTCTCAGCCCTTTTTCAGTTTATATATTTGAGACAGGGCATTGGTAAGTTATGCAGACTGGACTCCAGTTTGTAGTCTTCCTACTAGATTCCCAGTGTTGGGATTACAGGCATGTACCACCATACCCTGCTACTGGCATAGTTTTTAAGTATATATCCAATTAGTCAGAAAAAAGATATCTTGGTGATATTTGACTTTGTAAGTTTATGTTAGTGTTCAGTTTTCAAAGAAAATGAAGCAAAAGGATATATTTAGTACTGGAAAGATTCAGAGGGAAAAAACACACATGACATATTAGCCAACATTTAATAAATGTAATAAATTAATATGAAGTATCACAAAACCTGCAGTGGATAACATACAAGAATCAAGAATAAGACAACACTTTGCAACCACTCACAAAAAGTACCATTTGATAAAGGAGAAGAATTACAGGAAATAATATAAGGCAGTCTGTTGCACTTGTCTTAAACAGATACACATATAGAATAGTACATCAAAATGATTTGTTTGACAATAAACTCACCACGTTTACATTTATCACATGGACTTTTTAAAATGTTTATAAAAGTTTGTGATTTAACACTGAACTGTTAGTTTTATATCCAAATGAGTATATTTATTTCATACCAAACTGCACAGAACTTACGAATAGCACACAATTTGAGAATAATTACTGTGTTGGGTACTATTAGTACTACTACTTGATGACATAAGAATTATAAACAAATGTGCTATAAGCTATTACCATTCATCTTATTGCTAGTGCTTTTGGAAATCCATGATTGACGCTTCACTTTTCTGTAAAACATGTGCTATGAGCTTGCCCTGATCGTTAAGAAATCAGATGTTTCCAATTTTCTCTAATACTCACAATGTTTCAGGTCTGAATGCGTGGTCTTTTTCAGGACTGCTAAGGAATTTTCTTCAGTCCTTTTTATATCAGCTGCACTGCCCCACATTCACACAAATCAATGGATTCATGCAACATACATGGTGTACATGCAGAACACCATTTGTATGTGCAGAACTCATGCTAATTGCATGCTGTGTTTCTTCAGACATTTTCATTTCATTAAGAATTAGAGCACCTCATTCAGTTTCAGATAATTGTTTTAACATGCAGCTCAGCTGACCTAATAGGCAGGTAGACTTTACTTTCCTGTTATATTTGGGCATGCTCAAGCAATTGGCTGGCTATTTGGCAGTGTTATAAATCACATAGAGACTGTATGAGTTTCCTCAAATACAGCAGCTCTCCCACTGCCCATGTGGCAGACTTTGAATTTATCTATGCTGTACGCCGAGACATAGACCAAGGTTTTGGAAATTTTGATTGTGCAGTCACCAAATTTAAAATGTTAAGAAGCACATTACGAAGTATGTAAGTAATTGTCAGGCATAAGAAATAGCATCATGAATTCTTCAGAAATTTTATCCACAGTTGTGTGAAATAAACACATATGGAACACTGGAAACACATGTATTCTCTGCACACAGCATAGACTTAATGTTCTTACTTTAGCAATGCTTGAAAACCTTTTATGGTTTACAAACCATTAAAATGATACTGAATTCTTGGAGAGCAGCAGGCCAGCGAATGACACAATGGCCAATACTTATTTTAACACAACACTATATTTAACAAGATTTAAGTTTCTGATGTGTAATTGTAGTACAATGAAGAGCTTGCCACTTTTTACAAATTAGCTGCAGCCTTTTCCTGCACTAGAGAGTTTGGAAGGATCTGAAAATGTGATAAATTTTGTTTAAAATCCAAATGGAAACTCTGTATTTCTTTTATTCCCAGAGTTCAATAAAAGTGATTTGTAAATTTCTTTTTTTTCCACATTCTAAGGGCCTAATTCAGTAGTCCTTAATCAAGTAAAACTTTCAAAGTTTTTGTCATCTACATGTCCTACATAAGTTTTACTCAAAAATGGACTGCTAAATTGAGTCCTATAGACAGAGGTACCATAATTAAGAAAATATTTTAATAAGGCTCAAAATGTTAATTTCACTTTGTGTGTAGCACACGAATTTCCAGAATTCTTAGATCAAAACCCAATTGATATTGAATCCTGGATTGGGAAATAACTCTGGGATCTGTTTCCCAGTCTAGTCAAGAAATTAGGTATTTACTAAGGACCAGAATGAAAACACTAATTCCAGTTTACTTGTCATAATAATCAGAATTTGAACACTGTCCTTAAGAAGTAAAAAGCTGTTGATATATATAGATGTCTCTTAATTATCCTTCCACTTCTGTAGTCCTGGTTAACCAGCTGCTATGTTAAAATGCCACTATGTTTGGGGACAGACATTGCAGCAAAATACCAATACAACATTCTGACAATGTCAAATTTTGTCCCTATAGTAACAACAAAGCGAAATTCTGCCTTTGAGTCAAGGATGGATGTTTCACTAGGCAGACACTATCTTACTGTGTTTACATGTGTAGATTAGCAAAGCAAGAATTTAAAGTGTATATTTACTGTTAACCTGGAAAAAGATTCCGCAGAAGCTGTCAATTTAGGTGTGGTTGAAATATAACCACTGTAATGTGCATCATTCTGGTCTCCTGCAAATGCCACCTGAGATGAACATTAACAATTCTGAGGGTGGGAGGAACAGGAAAGGGAGAGGGAGGAGGAGAGAGAGAGGGAGAGGAAGATCGGGGAGGGAAGAATGGGAATAAAAGCATATAGACTTTATCCATCAAATATTCAAAATAACATAGTCTCCATCTATTATAAACAGTAAATATAGAACTCTAAATCTCACTATTTTAAGCATGATTATAAAGTACAGGATTGCAAAGCTATATAAAAAACACTGTTTCTGACAGCAGTATTTACAGTAGTTATGACCAAGAGAAAAGTTAAAGATTTTCCAATCAGTGTGGCTTCCCTGCAAGAAGGCTATGCTGCTCTGTCTTACACACTGCTAATCCTTTCACTAACCACATTGGAAGGGTTTACCGGTAGCTCCAGATTTTCCACCTGCATCTCTATGCCTGGCTCCCTCTCCTCAGCTTTCCTAATCACAGGCTCATTGGTATGCCGATAAATGTTAACATTAAGCTCCCTCCCAGACAAAGCAGTGGCAGCAACTCTTGGCAGCTGTCTGACAGGCGGCTTTTTGTCTGCCTTATAGTTGCAGCGCAAATAGTTGGAGAAAGCCCTGCGGTAAACTTTGTTGAAGAGCGTGTACACAAGAGGATTAATTCCTGAACAGACATAGCCAATCCAAACAAACACATTCAGAAGCTTTTCCATGAGCTTTTGATTACAAGCTTTCCCACACAGAACCGACAGAATATTGGTAATGAAAAATGGGCACCACATGACCAGAAACACAAAGAACACAATGCCAAGGACTTTTGACGCTTTCTTCTCATTGTTGATAGCCTGCATGGTGCCCCGAGGACGTCTTTCCTTCTTCTTCCTCCGGCGCGGGTTCCCATCTTGGTTGGGGTTTGCCGAATTCTCTTCCTCCTCAGTGTTCCTCTTGCAGCACTTCAGAAAGTTCAGGCTTGGGCCCAGTGGTTCCACCGCGTGGCCGCGCAGCAACATCAAGGCTTGTCTGCGTAGGACATAGATGGTCAGGAAATACGTGATCACCATGATCGTCAGAGGGATGAAGAATGCCACGAAGGATCCGATCAGCACGAAATTCGGGTCATTGAGCACGCACGTGGTGTTGCTCACGAACACTTTGTCTTCATCCCTCAGTCCAATCACTGGGATGGGCACTGACACACCTAAGGAATAAGAAGGTGCAACCTTGTTACAGCACTGGAAGGACTGGGCAGATTTTGCAACGCCATACAATTGTTTGCATTTTACTGAAAGCAGCTTAGACTTAATGTTTGTTGAAAGCTATTCAGACCCTAGTTGATAGCCACGTGAAACATCAGCAGTATGATAAAACAAAATGATGGCTCTTTTCCTCTTAGAATGTCTTTTCCCTACATTTCTGAAAAAACAAAAAACAAAAAACAAAACATGTAGTCACCATTATTGTGATATTAGAGATCTGGTAGTATCTGCCAATGGATTGACTTTGTTTTGCCATATTTCTAGTTCTTAGAATTGTCCCAGCTCATAGAAAACATTCAAGAAATATTTGTTGAACCAAAGAATACATTTGCATCTTTCCTCAGTGACATTCCTGAAGTCTATTTTTAGCAAAAATCTTCCAAAATTCAATTAAAATGATATCCAGACCACCTATAACAGTAATAATAGTCAATGAAATTTGACTAGGCTGGGGCTGGGGATTTAGCTCAGTGGCATAAATGCCTGCCTTGCAAGCAGGCAGTCGTGAGTTCGATCCCTGGTACCGATAAAAATGAAAAAGACAAAAAAAAAAAAAAAAAAAAAAAAATTTGACTAAGCTGTGTCTGGTGGTTACATAAAAATAACCTATAACCAGAAACTTAAAGGGTTCTTTTTGGCAAAATTTAGTTTTATTTATGTATGTATTTTGTCTCTGGGCATAAGCAGTACTTGATCTGTTTCAAGGTCAAAAGACAGAAGAAGGGCAATGTAAGCTCAGCAGTAGGGCAAATAGAGGAACGGAGGGCCCTGGATTTCTTTCTCAGTAGGCAGAAGAAGGAAAGGAAAAAAAAAAAAAAAAAAAAAAAAAAACTAAAAAACTTAGAGAGGAAGGCAGTAATGAAATGCTGAATTGGGAGAGAGACAGTTGTACTATTTTAATGGGGAATTTTGAGAGCTTTTTCTGTTTTGTTCTGCAAGTGTTCGGGAGCTAAGAAACCTTATACAGGATTAAGAAAACACAGAAAGAGCGGGAGATCAATCTCAGTGGTAGGGCAATTGTGTAGCACGTACAGGCCCTGGGTTTGATTCTAGCATTGAAAAAAATGGAGAAAAGGATCGCATAATAAAAAGCTTTTACAAGAAAAAAGGTTTTAAAGGGAGAGCCTACAAATTAAGACACATTTGGAGTTCTCAAATAATCACATTGTGTGAATCAGCTTTGGATCTTGATGCAAACAACATTTCAACAATATTCATGACAGAATTAGAGATTTGAACAATTCCTGGCTTTTCGATGTTTTTAAACCACTGCTGCACATTCATTTTCAGGTGAGATGTTGAAACCATGCTTCTGCAGAACAACAACAACAACAACAACAACAACAACAGTGCTTATGTTTTCAGATACACATCCTGAAACAGGTAAGATGAAATATTATGGTGAGGAATTTATTTCAAGTAATATGACAGGAAAAAGTGGATGAGAATATTAATGAAAGTCTGTTACTTGATAAAGTCTGTTAATTGATAAATGCTGGAGCTAGTTGATGAGTGTACCAGTTTTTATCACATAATTTTACTTTTATTATCTTTGACAGTTTACTTTTAAGAAGTTTAATAATTTTACGGAATTTTAAAATATAATATATAGAAATGCTCTCTGAAATAAACTAAAACAAGTCTATTAAAACTATGGATTAGAAAATCTCTAAGACTTTGAAAGTGATGACAGTCTAGTGGAAACACTCGGCATTTTTGTGTAACAGCAGAGAAGGCAGCTATTTCTGACAAAAAGTTGATAGGAACTCTTACATCCTTCCCAGAATACTCCAACAAGAGCAGCAGAAGGCCTAGGGTAGGTGAAGAAAGGTAATTCTAATAGTTTGTATTTATTGAGTCTATCTTCTATGTCAGGAATTGAGTTATGTGCATGATGGAGAATTCAGTTTTAAAATGTGTAGTCTTAATCTGGTTAAAAACTCTGTGGAACAGATATTATTTGATGAAGTGTTCTAACCACTTTACCAAATTTGTATCAACACACATTTTGTATCAGAAACCATGAATGCAGTCAACAAACAAGAAATTCAATTGTTTTTGAGAATCTCAGATTATAACAACCAATATTAATAACAATATAACATGATTATCTTATCCAATACTTTAAAAATGTCAAAGGTGTCAACATTTCTCAAAGTGTGGTTCAAGGATCCTGTGACTTTTAAAGAGGTTTTTAGGTTTTCCTTTTATTTTTCCTTAAAACTGTTCTTTCATAAATGTCAAGTCAAACTATTCTATCAAACTAGGTTGAATATGTAACTGTCTAGCTGTTATGGCATCAAATTAAGCATTAGAGATTTTCAGAGCTATAAAATGGTGCCTGTCTTCTGTTTTTATTTTAAATTACTTACCCTGTATAAAAAATATTCCTTATGCTAACATTGAAGAGGCTTATTGTTGTTACTTAAAATGAGTCATGAAAATTTTAAACATTTAAACATTTAATTTTTAATGCCACAAATATCATTAGATGCAACATATAAACGAAAGCTCTTTAGTGTCTTCAATTATTTCCAGCTGCATAAAGGGGTCTTGACACCAGGGTTTGAGAAATGCTGTTCTGTCTTAAAGGATGAAGTTACTTAGATGCTAAAGAGTTTATCTAACAAACATCTAAAGTCTTCCTTTGCATTTTTAGTTCAGTGCTATTCTAATGTCAGATAAATTTAAACAACAGCAGTACTAGCAATAAAACACTTTAAATAGATTATTTCACACATTCTCATAAAAATTCTCAAAATCACATATTTGGTGAAGTTAACTTCAGGAAAGTTAAGTGATTTTAGCCAATACAATGAGACAGTCTGATATTTTCTAAATCTTTAATTTAGCCAAGAAGGAAAATGGAAATGAACTGCCTCCAAAGAATGCCAGTTGCAACAGTTACGATAGTAACTACTTTTTATAGTGCTTCCTATTTGTCACACATTGAGCCAAGTATTTTTTCATATGTCATATTTTCAATTCAGATGAGAAACATACATGCAATTTTTTTTTTTTTTTTTTTTTGTCTTTTTCTTTTTTATCGGTACCGGGGATCGAACTCATGACTGCCTGCTTGCAAGGCAGGTGCTTATGCCACTGAGCTAAATCCCCAGCCCCATACATGTAATTCTTAAGTGGAACTACTTAGTGTTCCTGAGGTTAACTTCACTAAGTCTGTATCATTTGCCTCAGAACTTCAGGAACAATAAAGACCAATTATAATTCACATTCTGATTCATATCTAAGGTACTACTTCAACTAAAAAGCAGTCAAATATCTTGCAAGTAGATTTCATCCAGTTCTTGCAAAACCCTAAAAAATAGCTCTTGTTTATTAAGGTTACTTAAAGTCAGAAAAATTATCTTCAATACACGTATAAAAACTTAATTTAGCATTTGAGGAATGTTGAATTCAGTAATATATAGTTCAAGTTTCATTGAAAAACATGTTAGCGCTACTACTATTTTATTAAAAATAATGAATGTTACTACAACAACTACCATGTCTACTATTACTGCTGCTACTTCTACTAACTCATATAATGGAGTACTTATTGCAACTGCTTACTGACTCTGGTACCTTAGATGCATTATATACATTACATGCATTATCTTTTCTAATCTCATAAAAAACTCACTAGGAGGTGCAACTGTTTTAATGCAAAGAAGGAATGTTCAGAGAATGTATAATGACATTTATACCATTTCCTAAAACCTTGAATTCAAGCAACACAGATCAATTCTCTTCAACCCATTAGATAATAATAGCACCAATGATTCCAAAAGGAATATTTTGTTTTGAAATTTGGAAATCTGTGAAGTTAGGATGCAGCTTATGGCTGATAATATCTTACAATCGTTTTTGGCTAGACAAAAGACTTTAAATAGTTGTCATTGTTATTAAACCTGGTGTGAAAAACTTTGCATTTTCTGGTAAGATCAAAACCACTTGTAGCAAAATTTGCAAAATAAATACAAGCAGCATGGAAAAACTTCTGGCAAATAAAAACATTAAGTCATAAGAGCCAAAGGGAAGGGGGTTTCTGAAGAAGGTCCTTATCAGTTTCAAATACCACAGAGGGCTCTAGAATTTGAAATCTTTCATCTGTCACTGAAAATAAAGAGGCCAGTGGTGATTACAGAGTGGAGTGGAAACATTAAAAAACTGAAGTGTAAATAAATAGGTATACTTAGAGGTAACAGAGTGAGTTTTCTAGGACAGCCTTGGTAACTTCAAAACACAGACTAGACAAGTTATTGTTGAACTGCAAAGATACCTCAGATTTTTCAAGAGGTTGTTTTTTTGCATGAAAATAAATATTTTCAAGGAGACCTAGACAGACCATGGAATGTCAGGTAGGCATGAATGGTCCCTTGCCTCAGACACCATAGATGAGTCCCTTGAACATGGTAGCTGAAAGTAGAATTTGAGGAGCCATTTTCAGAGAACCCAGAAAATAATACACAGCAAGAGATAACTCTGTTCTCAGACCATGAACTGTTACTGAGGGTTGGTGTAATGGTTGATAACACTGTGTCAACTTGAGAAGTTTAGAAGCTTAACTAAGTGACTCAGCAAGGGGCCTCACTTTGTAAATGTCCTGAACCTGTGCAAGAGGGGCACAGGAGATGATGTGGGTGTAAGGGCCCCACCCTAGGGCTGAGAGCCTGCATAGAGTATAAAGGAGGAAAAGAGGCTTGCTCTCCCTGTTTTTACTGCCTTCTGTAGTCTTCAGATGTTGCCCTTGAGCCAGGTCATCCTGCCTTGGAGACAGCTGAGTATAGACTAAAATCTCCACAAATTGTGAGTTAAATAAACGTTTACTTTTTTGACTTTTTTGAGCCAGGATCTTGCTATGCAGTTCAGGTTGGCCTTGGACTCAATTTGTAGCTCAGACTGGTCTCGAACTTGCAACAATCCTCCTGTCTAAGCCTCC